AAAAAAACAAAGAAAAAGCACCAGAACCAACACCTGTCAGAGGCAGCAACTCAGAGGAAACATGACAAGTCCAGTGCTTTATTTTGCCAAAGGGCTCCACTGTGTTTAAATTGTGGATCCAGTGTGTTTCTTTGTGGAGCAGTGAGCTGATGGTGATTATTTCTATACTGCAGAACTTTAATGATGATGGTTGGTCTTTATATGACATCAGACAATAACATTGCAGTCATATATTTGCAGATAAATCAGACATACAGTGCTGATAACCCAGCTCAGGAAGGAGAAACTGTAAAGGAGTAAAATGTTCTTATTTTTGATGTCTTTATTTGTGTCCTTTTCAGAGGTCAGACAGTGTGGATTGCAGGTCATGGTGCCACTGGTGGAGGACCGAATGACGAACGACGTGAGAATATTTTAATATAAGCATAATGATCTCTTTATGGAGTTGTTTCATTTATTGATAAAATAATTTTACATTCTTCAGTAAAAAAAAACAAAATAATAATAACACTGTGTTATCTGACAATGGGCTTTTTTTCATTTCTGTTTCGATTTTACACATTTTAAGAACTAATTGATAATTTAAAGCCGGTAAGTATAAGAAATAATTAAAACAAAATATAACGATAAAGCACATTAGATTTTGTTATTTTATTTCTATGGATAATGACAATGATTACTTTCTTCTTCTATAGAGCATGGCCATTACCTCCTTTTCTACAACAAACTGTCATGTCAACACTGGTTCTATGGTCAAAGTCCCAAAGTAGATATGTGATGCGAGTTGGCATTGACACACTGATGTTTCAGTAAACAATAATGAAACAAAATATATTTGTCTCTCCTACAGGGAGATTGAATTATCTTTTTTTTTTTTAACCAAAATTGCGTTCTTCTTAACTTTATAGCAAAACACACACGTACATACATGTACTGTGGGCATTAAAAACTCTTCTAACTACTTCTGATGTATTTTGTGGACAGTCTTTCTAAATGATTTTTGTTGTCGCCTACTCTAGAACCACGTGAATCCCCTACTCTCCAGTGTGCAACCATCGACGTTGTCGACTGTAATAACCTCAGAAATACTTTGCAGAACATTTTCCCAAACATCTACCCAGTCAAGATATACCAGCACTGGTTCTGTGGCCAACGTGCTGGAGTGGATATATGTAGAGTGAGTTTGCATTAGAGTTTTGACCATGTTTAGTTGCATTGATGTTTTAGTAAATATGAATAAAATTATATATATTTCTTTCTCTTGCAGGGAGACTCTGGTGGAGGAGTGGTGACTCAAAACAAGATTTATGGTGTCATTTCTTTTCTCGGAGATCCTGACTATGTATGTAGGAGAGCAGCTGCTTTCATGGACGTCTGCAATCAAAACTACTTAAAATGGATCAAAGATACCATTAAGAAGCCAAACAAGAAGTGTGGTCTGAACTGTGGCTAATGACAAACATATTGAAGCTTATCAAACAGAAGAACCTGTGACTGATCTGTTGATGGTTTACTTTGCTGCAGACAGTGTTATAAACTGTGAACCGTGCTTGTCATCAAGATCTGACTTGAAACTCCCCTCCCTTCTTTATTCGTAGAGATTTTACCACATCTTTACACCCCTGTGTGTATCCCACTGGTATTCCCCAACCTTTTGGCCTTGTGAACCCTGACAATAAAGCGGTGTCTTTAGATCTGTTCAGACATGTCCTCCTCTCCACTAATCTGATGCACACTCTCCAGTTGAAGTCGTCATGGCAGTCTTGTAACATTCTCAATCAGCTGGACCTTCTGCATCACTTTCAGCACAAATCTAAACTGCATGTTGTCACGTTCATGGATAGACACACACAAACGACATACTTCAAGTTGTGTGAAACGATTTTTTCACATTTCAGCGCCAAACTTGGTCCTAAAACACAGCAGAAGACACATTTTGCACGGCAATCAAGCTTTGCATAGTTCATACAGACACGCAGTCAGGACGTCACAAGGCTCTTTCTGTCCAATCGTTCACTGCTTAAGTCCAGCCCACCCACTCAGCGTGCTTTATAACTGAGGCAGCGTTCATTCATTCTGTCAGCTTCACGCTCACCACATCGCTGCTACACCAGCCTCTACAGATCGACAGTTATCCCCCTCCTCCCGTTAAGGTTCACATTCATAATTGTGGTTGTTGTTGTATTGTGTGGGACTGTAGAACACAGATGGTTCATGGATAGTTCAACCTGTGGCTCTGCTGGGAGGTTTGTGATCTCAGGGACTGTCTGTGTCATGCTTGCTCAGATTGTTCCAGAGCATCACTTGAGCAGAGTCACCGCCAAACTCAAATGCATGTCATTCCAAAATAAATGCTTCAATCTGACAACGTGTCCTGTCTGAAAATGAATACTCCACTGTTAGTTATTTGGACAGTTTAATAAACTGCTATAAGATTATGTTTATTCTTTTGTTTATTGGTGCATTATTATGCTTTATACCATGGTCAGTGAGAATTCTATGGCTAACTGGCGTGCATTATTTTCGTGTATACGCACACGTAGTTATATCACGCCGCTCTGGTCGTCATCATAGCAACACGCAAATCAGCTGGCGTAGATCAGCTGTGTCTTGACATGTGCATGAGAGAAACGCGATAAAACATGGATTTCGAGGTTAATTTTAACATTTTTGGCAGAAACAAAACGGCTTACAATGCACAGCTTCTCGTTGTTTAACCCTTACATAATCAAGCATTCCATTTGTCTTGACAACGGTTGCGTAGGATAAATGTTGCGACCTGCATAAAGTAGTCACAAAAACTTTTTTAGCATTTTTAGCAAGTTCTATTAATTAAATCAATATTTTGTGTGTTTGCTTGCTGTGTGGGACCATGGTATAAACGCAGTAAACAGCTTGGAGCCGTGCATTATACGGTTTGAATGCACGTCGTGATGTTTTAGACTCTGCTGCATGCGTTCAAACCGGTATTATGCACAGTTCCTCGTTGTTTAATCCTTACTTATGTCACTTTATGCATTGTCCAAGTTCATGCGTATGAAAAATATTGAGTGTAATTATTGCACTGCATAGATATTAACCTTTAGAAGTTAACATATATATGCAATAACAAGTTATTTATAATTTAAACAAGAATTCTAACTATGGAGATGGACCGCTCTGACCTCTACTTCATTATTACTCAACTAACCACACAAGCGCACACTACTTCCTGCTTCCTGCATTGTCTCTGAATGTTGACATTGGCCAATATTAGCATAACTTCTGGGCTTTAACAAGGATCTGGGGCCATTTTGATTCCATGATTGAACATTTCACCTCTTATTTTTCTGAATAAAAGTCAAAAACCTTCTGAGTGACGTACAGTAAAAAGTGTAAACCGTGTGCTTTAAGTCAGTTGGCTCACAGGGCAAAACAACAGTTACACAGATCATAGTTTGATCTCACTCATTTCCCTGCTGTCACTTCACAAAGGACGAGAGCTGCTGATAAGAGACCATGACTTTGCATAAATGTGCAGAGTTTTGCAGCCAATAGGGTTTGATAAGGCCTCAGGATGTGACTAGCGGCTTTGCAGAGGTCATTATTTTAACAGAAAGTTCAGTCGTGACAGAGAGAACTGCAGCAATGACTCGCCGGATGCTTCTTCGCTTATGTCTGTCTATCTGTGAGTATTCAACAATTTCATATATCTATATATATTGACATTTACATTCCTAATGCTAAATCTTTGAATTGGTCTGTATGGTGAGGTTATAAAAATGACTTAATGTATTTGGCTGCATCAAACCTTAAAGACGGTATGTGGGATTTTCCAACAGAAGGTCTGTGCAGCAATTTATCCGAAAGGTGCAGCAGGTGATGAATGCAGAAAGCTGCCAGCAAGGAAGGAATTTTGGAAACAGTGGAGAAAACGGATGTGTTATGATGAAGAGAATGCATGTACGAGGTTTTTATTTTGGAGATTGCATGTAATCAGTAAATTTGTTTACACGAATATTTCACATTTCAGCTGAAGATGTGCTTTAAGGGAATAGTTTTAGACCCCGTCTACAACCTCAGCTGCTGTAATACAGGGAAACTGCAAGAACTGTTATTGGTCAGCTCGGACTGCCTGTTTGTAATCGTGAAGAAATATTAATGATCGTAGGATTGAACAGGGGCTGCAAGGTGGCGCAGTTGGTATCACTGTTGTCTCGCAGCAAGAAGGTCACTGGTTTGCGTCCCAGTGGGGGCACCGCGCTCAGTGTGGTGGTGTTGGAAGTGCTGCTCCTGATCCGGACTGACTGGGGTCTATCAGTCAGGAAGTCCAGGATCCAGTTGCAGAGGGAGGTGTTCAGGCCCAGCAGGCTCAGCTTTCTAATGATTGTGTTGAATGCTGACGTGGGTGTGTTTGTTGTCCAGGTGGGTGAGGGCCAGGTAGAGGGCCAGGTGGAGATGGCGTCATCTGTGGAGCGGTTGGGACGATATGTGAACTGCAGGGGGTCTAGTGAGGGGGGCAGCAGAGTCTTAATGTGTCTCAAGATGAGCCTCTCGAAGCACTTCGTTGTGATGGGTGTGAGTGCAACGGGGCGATAGTCATTCAGGCAGGACACTGAAGACTTCTTTGGCACGGGGATGATGGTGGTGGCTTTGAAGCATGTTGGAACAATGGAGGTGCTTAGGGAGGTGTTGAAGATGTCTGTGAGAACATCCACCAGCTGGTCTGCACACTCCCTGAGCACTTTGCCAGGAATGTTGTCTGGTCCAGCAGCTTTCCGTGGGTTGACTCTGCGAAGCGTCTTCCTCACGTTGGCCGTGGTGAGACACAGCGCCTGGTCATCGGGGGGAGCGGTGGTCTTCCTCGCCGTCTCGTCATTCTGTGCTTCAAAGCGAGCGTAGAAGTTGTTCAGCGCATCCAGCAGGGAGGCGTCGTCGTCACAGGAGGGGGATGTTGTCCTGTTGACTGGATGCCCTGCCACATCCGCCGAGTGTCGCCGCTGTCCCTGAAGTGGCTTCTCTGATGGCTTAGGACGGTTTGGCTCTTGCTGTTTTTAGAGCCTCGCTGTCACCTGTCATGAAAGCAGAGTCTCTGTTTTTCAGCAGCGAACGCACCTCTGCAGTCATCCACGGCTTCTGGTTGGAGCGAGTGGTGATGGTCTTGGAGACAGTGACGTCATCAATGCACTTCCTGACGTAGCAGGTCACTGATGTGGCGTACGCCTCCAGGTTGACTGAGTCGCTGTTGGTTGCAGCCTCCCTAAACATTTGCCAGTCAGTGTGCTCCTGATGGCCAGATTTTCACCTTCTTCAGAACCGGTTTGGAACCGGTTTAAAACCCACATAGTTGTGTTTCAGCTCCTGTCATAGATAGAACATCTAAAGTAGGTACTGTTTCTCCCCCATAAATGGTAGTTAAAGGACAGCTGGAGCACTCATGAAGGTTGGGCCTTCCCAGCCAGTCCTTGAGCTTCTTTATCACATTCCTACATGCAATGCACTCATTTACCGGATGTGGATAAACATCAAATGTGCTTTGCAAAGACTTGTTCAGGAGAGTTGTGTCTCTCTCAGGTTTTATCAGTTGTAAGTGATTGTTATTTATAATTCTCCTGTGGCCAGTGTAATAGTTTCCACTAAGGATTACAATTTTATCATCTCTGGAAGTCTGCGAGAGTCTGCGCATGCTTGTTCCTATTCATTATGTGGATACCAACCTCCTACGTATGGAGGGAATGGAGACTTCAAGCAGACTCCATGTGGAATAGAAAGTAGTTTAGCAGTTACACAGTTGTGATTACTGCAGCTGAGTGTCTATACGCCCTCAAGGGAGTCTAATCAAGGCTTAATAAGGACTCATTTCTCCATTTTACTGAGAGCACTTAAGGTGTTTTCTCCTGAGGTCACACAACTGCTGTTCTTGCTCACAGCCACCTGGTGGGGGATCCCTCTTCCAGGTGTGACAGTGAGCACAGCGCCGGATCTGCAGAAGAGAATCATCGGAGGTCATCAGTGTGAGCGTCGGTACCATGTCAAACTGAGAGGAGTTGCTGCCGACGGATCTACCAGCTCGTGTGGAGGCTCTCTGATCAGTACACGGTGGATTCTGACTGCAGCTCACTGTGTTGAGCCAGGAGGGTTAGAAAATCACATTATTACTGAGAATTCTTTGACAGCTGATCAGTAGTGATATCGGGTATGTATGTTTTTAGTGTTCTCGACAAGGTAAAATATGAAAAGAGAGAAATCTGACTTGTATTGACCTGCAGCATTAAAGCTGTATGTGTTGACAGTGTGATGTGTATCTTTAACTTCTACCCACATGTAGGACTGTATTTGCAGATTTAGGTGTGCTTCTACACGGTGCTGCTCAAGAAGTACAAATCACAGCAAATCCTGTCATCTATACTGACAAAGACAACAACGGCAAAGACAGATTTCATGACATCATGCTGCTGCAGCTACCTGGCACCTCTGACATTCAGCCTATAGCCCTGCCTGACTGTGGAGACCAACCCAGAATGTGAGTGGTGGGTTTTTCATACCTAACAATTATATAAAGCTGTTTGTCAGTAGTTGTAACAGACACTGACACCTGGAGCACTGCTGTACGGTTTAACCTTTGACAATAACCTTGTTTTGGATATAGGAAAACACATCTGATCCTTTGGCTGATGGGTGTTTTCTGATTCAGAGCTGTTGACAGGACGAATGAGCTAACAGTGTCTGCTAGAAATTAGGTTCATATACCAAGTTTAAAAGTCAGGATTAGGTCCACAGTACTCACTGTTTGGATTGCAATACACTTTACGAGATGCTTAACAATGATACAGTATGACCTCATTCTTCTGCTCTCCTGCTCTTCTGGCTGTTATTAACAGAGTTGAGATGGCAGGCCACGCTGCCACCAGTGGAGGCCCTAGTGACAGAAGGAGTGAGTGATTTTTTTTCCTTTTCTAAATCTATTTCCACAGCTAAATAAATATTTTAATCGCACTGTTGTTGGTTGCGGGCTGCAAGGTGGGGCAGTTGGTTAGCATTGTCGCCTCGCAGCAAGCAGGTTGCCGGTTTGCATCCCGTTGAGGACATCCGGGATCTTTCTGCGGGAAGTTTGCATGTTCTCCCCGTGCAGCTCCGGGTTCTCCGGCTTCCTCCCACAAGTCCAAAAACATGTTGAGGTTAATTGGTGATTGTAAATTGTCCGTAGGTGTGAATGTGAGTGTGCTTGGTTGTCTGTCTCTAAGTGTAGCCCTGTGATAGACTGGTTACCTGTCCAGGTGAGCCTGCCTTCACCCTGAGTCAGCTGGGATAGACTCCAGCCCCCCATGACCCTAGTGAGGATGAAGCGGTGTATAGATAATGGATGGATGATGTCAGTTGCAGTACTCATGTGTACACATAGTAAAGCAAATTAGCTTCTGTCCCAAAATTGCATTGTTCTTAAATTGATAGCAAAACACACACACATACATGTACTATGACCATGAAAACCTCTTACTCCTACTTTCTGTATTCTGTAGACAGTATTTAAAAATTATTTGTGTTGCTACCTCCTCTAGGACGTGGTAAATCACCTACTCTCCACTGTGCAGACATCGAGGTTGTCGACTGTGAAGACCTCGAACTTACTTTGCAGGAAAAATCCCCAAACGTCTATCACGTCAAGAAGTACCAACACTGGTTCTGTGGCCAAAGTCCTGGAGTGGATATATGCTGTGTGAGTTGACATTAGAGCTCTGACCATTTTAAGATACATTGATATGTCAGTAAATAGGGAAAAACTAAAGATGATGATGTCATGGCTTTGGAAGCTTTTGATAGGTTAATTGACATCCTCTGAGTTAATTGGAGGCAAACCTGTGGATGTATTTTAAGGCACACCTCAAACACACTGCTTCCTTTTGTGACAACATGGAAAATCTAAAGACATCAGCCAAGATATCAGGAAGAGAACTGTGGACCTCCACCAGTCTGGTTCATCCTTGGGTACAATTTCCAGATGCCTGAAGGTTCCACGTTCATCTAATCAAACAATTCTACACAATTATAACCACCATGGGAATGTCCAGCCATCATAGCGCTCAGGAAGGAGACGGGTTCTGTGTCCCTGAGATGAAGTGTTTTGGTACAAAATGTGTGAATCAACCCCAGAACAAAAGCAGAAGACCTTGTGAAGATGCTGCTGAAGCTGGTCAGAGAGTCATTATCCACAGTGAAACCGGTCCTGTACCGACATGGGCTGAAAGGATACTCAGAGAGGAAGAAGACATCACTCCAAAAGCAACATAAAAGAGCCAGATTACAGTTTGTAAATGCACACAGGGACAAAGAGCTTCATGTCTGGAGACATGTCCTGTGGTCTGATGGAACTAAAACTGAACTGTTTGGCCTTAATGACCATCGTTACATCTGGAGGAAAAAGGAGGAAGCTTGAAGCCTGAGAACACCATCCCAGCTGTGAAGCACGGGGGTGGCAGCATCATGCTGTGGGGGTGTTTTGCTGCAGGAGGGACTGGTGCACTTCACACAATAGATGGCATCATGAGGAAAGAAGATTATGTGGAAATATTGAAGCAGCATCTCAAGACATCAGCCAGGAAGTTAAAGCTTGAGCACTAATGGGTCTTCAGATGGACAATGACCCTCAGCATACCGCCAGATTAGTTACAGAGAGGCTTCAGGACAACAAAGTCAGTGTTTTGGAGTGGCCATCACAAAATCCTGATCTCAATCCTGTAGAAAATATGTGGGCAGAGCTGAAAAGGTGTGTGGAGCAAGGTGGCCAACAAACCTGACTCAGTTCCACCAGTTCTGTCAGGAGGAATGGGCCAGAACTCATCAAACTATTGTGAGAAACTTGTGGAAGGACAAAAATGTTTCACCCAAGTCATACAGTTTAAAGGCAACGCTACCAAATACTTTCTTATGCTTTGAAGAAATTAATTTTACAAAATCTCCAAAAATTTTCTCTCTCATTATTCTGGCATTTAGCAAATAGAAATAATTCTGGTAATCCTAATGGACCTGAATCAGGAAAGGTTTAGTCTGATTTAATGTCAGACAGTGAGAAAAAAAAAAGGTTTTGTGTCTTTATATACAGTGTATGTAAACCTCTGGTTTCGACTGTATATGTCTGTCTCTTACAGGGCGACTCCGGGGGAGGAGTGGTGCATAAAAACAAGATTCATGGCGTCATTTCTTTTCTCGGAGATCGTCACTATGTGTGTAGGAAAGCAGCTGCTTTCATGGACCTCTGCAATCCTGAATACGCAGCTTGGATCACCAGAACTATTACCTGACCAAAATGCTGTGAGGTGTGGCTGACTGGCTGAGATGCTTTCATCATAAATATTGCTTTAGATTCAATCTCTGCTACTGTTGTTTTGCCTATTTATGTTTCTGCATAACCTATTTACCATATGGAGCAGTTTAAGTGATTTAATTGAAACAATTTTGGATAACTTCAGTTCCTATTTTCTCTTTCATTGGTCCAAAAATGCAGAGTTCCTTATAGAAAAATATACAAATTATCAAATCAAAATCAAATCAAATCAATTTTTAATGTCATTTTGCTGTACATACACAGCAGTACAGGCAAGGTGAGAGAGCGTAACTTAAAGCAATTTGAATAAATCAATGTACAGGATTCTCGTGTAGGTGTCTTTATTTTCCAGGTGGGTGATGACTGAGTGTTAGGTGATAGCTATTGCATCCTCTGTGGAGCGGTTGGGACAGTAAGAGAAATATTCAGGAAGTACAGACCTGTTAAAAAAGAAGTTTTTCTAGCACAGCTGTCTGTCTCATTCTTGTGCATGTGATACCTCAAATACACCATGAGGGAATTTCTCTAAACCTGGCGTCAACGTTCACTGGACTCGAGAATGAACTGATTAGATTTTCGTGGTCAAAGGTCAAGCTAACGCTGATCCCTTTCTCAGGAATGAGATATAGCAGGAACGCCTGGGAGGAACTTTATTACATCTGGTGGTAACGTCCACTTGGACCCGAATTGATTAGAATTTGGTGGTCAAAGGTCAAAGGTTGAGTAGAATCGAGTAAAATGTGTAATAGGATAAAATGATGAAGTGATGACATTTTTTATCCAAAAGGTCAACAGTCAGCTTCACTGTGACACCCTGATGGTCTGTGGAAACACTTTCATGGCCGTTATTTAACGCCTTAACTCGGAAACAGCAGCAGACACGGTGACCATATTTTACATTTGGTCGTATATTGAATTGCTGTCACCGATCCTGGATCTTCCCTGCTGCTGGATTAGAAGATTTGCAGCCACACTTTAGCACTTCTAGCTTCCTCTGCATCAATGTCCAGACTTAAAGCGCCGACTGATGTCATCATACAGCTTTGTATCCTATCAGAATCAGCTTTATTGACCAAGCAAGTGAACAACTAAAATGCTTCAAAGACCTCATTACATGTAGTATACGAGTCGCAGTAAATATGGATAGAAACTGCAACTGAACTGCTTGGTGAGGGCGAACAACCACGAGGCTGTAATTCACATAAAGGCTGAAGTTCAAGCCGTGAACTCACTGCCAGGAGTTTAGATTTGGTGGAGAAATCTGGAGTCTGCATTCAACATCCAAAAAATGTGTCTGTAAAAAATCTAACTTAAATCCCTCATGAAAAAATGAGAAGACATTACTTCATAGCAGCGGTCCTGAAGATAAACAGTTCAAATGCTGTGTGTGAAAATAAACTAAAACATCAACTTTTAATTTGGCAACTACAACACAAGCTTTTGTAAATGTACAGTTTAATGTCAAAGTGAAGAAAAAAGTTTTTAAAAGTGTGCGTTTGCTGACATCATGTGGTTCACAAAAATTGCCACAAACATACAAAGACTGTAATTTTAACAGTTTTAAATGTAATCTTTGGAATAATTGAGTGTTATTTCACAGATTTTTAGTTAAATTACAGATATATAAATCACAGAAAATTATTTAGATTACAATCATTTAGATCAGGGGTGTCAAACTCTGGCCCGCGGGCCAAATTTGGCCCGCTTTGTAATTATATTTGGCCCGCGAGACAATACCAAATGACTTCTAGGGCTGCCCCCGGTATTATACTGTACAGCGCATTCACCGCTAATACTACAAATCCCATAATGCCCTGTTGTTGTTTTGGCGCATCAATCAGTACAGGACCCAGAAACTCCCTCTCCTCTGTGACAGTAGGCATAGCGACTTCACACTACAATTGTCACTGTGCCACTGATGTGTTTTTTTATTTATAATTTGATTTTGCATGTCTTCACTATTAAGTTATATATAATGTGTGGTAATAAGCGTTGCTTGTTCCATGTTCAATGTTAAAGCAAAATTTGTTTCGGTCCATATTAAAAGGTTCATTTGTTCAATGTTGGCCCGCGACTTTGTTCAGGTTTTAAATTTTGGCCCACTATGTTTGTGAGATTGACACCCCTGATTTAGATAGTCTACACAGGTCATCTCCACACGCAGTGGTCACAAGTAACAAAAACGGCACAACCACCATGGGCCGTAACAAGTTACGCCCGATGTTTCCACTTGAACATGAAGCATTTAGAGCACGCAACTTCCCGTGTCGTAATCACAAGCTCACAAGTTCTGCTTCAAGGCAGCAAACTGAGCTTCACCTGGTCTGACAAGTCAAAATGCTGGATGTGTCAAAGATTCAGCAACACCGCCCAATGTAGGAAAGAAAGAAATAAGATCAAATGATAACAAAGACAGGAAGGTCTATTCAAAAAAGCAAAACAAGTAAGTGCCCTCGCAGTGATCCAGGTTGTCATGCAGTTTCATATGAGTATCGTGAACCTGTCGCTGTGACCTTTTGTTTTCAACCTGACTACCCACTGGACAGAAATCCTGCCATGATGGAACACATTACTGTCAAGTGAAGAGTGAACCCATCCTAATCTCAGCTGTCAGCCCCGAGTTCTCTGCAATCATCAAATCGAGCATAATCTGGTGTGAAAAGGCTGCCTGCCTCTGCTGAAAACCAAAATCCTGTACACTGGGTGCTGTTTGAGAAGCCTCTAAAAAAGGCTTTTGGGTGAAAAGAAAGAACATCGATTTTATGCAGAGACAAAGAAGTTGACTGTAAATGTCACCTATCGTGTGGCATTTAGCTTGCAGTTTGTGCACAGCTGATGATATGTTGTTTGTGGGTTGTATTATAGTTTCCCTGAGTGCACTGTAAACTTTAGGCTTAAATGGTTTATTTTAATAGTCCACTAACCATGTCAGGGTGCAGCATGTTTCTGTCTATATCAGGGGTCGGCAACCTTAAACGCTCAAAGAGCCATTTGGACCTGTTTCCCACACAAAAGAAAACACCTGGAGCCACAAAACCCTTTTGACATCTAAAATGAAGATAACACAGATATCATATATTGTTTTTACATTAATGCTATGTATAAAAAAAAAAAAACTATAGTGTTGCATTTATGAAATCAATGATCTGCTACAGAGAAAACAAAATTTTATTTCTGCAACAAAAACGTTTTGAACTCCGAAAAAACAGACACTGGGTTGAAGGTTACTTTCAAATAAAATACTCAATGTCGATTTGAATCCTCCTTGTATTTGTGAATTAAAAAGCCGATCTTAAATTATCCACCTGCAGCAAAGTCAAAATGCCGTCTGGTTGTCCTGCTGCCTGCAGCTGGGACTGCTGACCAGACTGCTGACCGCCTGTGAGCGCTTTGGGACGGGAACAGCTCACGGCAGCACCACAGCTCGCTGAGGACAGTAACTGCACAACGATACGTGTTTTTACGTCAGAGTCTCCAAAACACCAGAAAGAGTCACTAGATCTGTCACTAGTCACACAAAAAAACAGTCGCCAAGAGGATTTGGAAAGTCGCCAGATTTAGCGAGCAAGTCGCCAAGTTGGCAATGCTGTGCGTGCCGGTGGGTGTCGCACATCGGGGGTTGTGACGCATATTTTGAGCGACAAAAAAAATTAAACACATTTTATTTTAATGTTACAAGATCACCATAATCTTCAAACTTAGAATTGCATCTTAAAAACTAACGAACTGAAAAACAACAATTTAAATTAAATACTCATTTATTTTCCGAAGCCACAAGGAGCCGCAGCAGAGGGTTGCTGACCCCTGGTCTACATGATGCACAACTCAGTCTTCTGTGCAGATATGACTTAAATGTTTGCCCATTATGAGCGTGCACAGGTGTAAAAGGCATGCAGGTCATTTAACCAACCTGTTACCGGTGCTTTTGCCTTATTTTGCATTATTTGTTGTCAGTTTGTAGAACTTTGTGAAACTGAATGTAGGACAACTTCTTCATGCACATCTCTTCTTATTACTCAAAGCAGCCAGGATGCCTGCATCGTGTGCACCTGGGTCACCTCATGCACAAGTTGCTGTAGCTCGTCACACACAGACACACATCATCATTAGCACCACCACGGTTAGCACACCATAATGTGACTATTACAGCATTGCAATGAGGCGAGCCAGATGTCAAGCTGCCATCTGGTTACTGAAGACTCATTTTCACAGCGCTAGTTTGGAGCTACGCAGCGTAATTTGGCCTCTCGCATATTATTTTCACAGATGTGTCGGTACGCCTTACTGCCTGGTGTTGTTTTTGGAGGATCGCCGTCACTAGAACAACGTCAATACCGTGTAAGAGCTGAATTAAGCCTTCTACCTGCAAACAGAGACCACACTATCTGCTGTATCCCAACTGCCTGCACTGGCCACTGATGTTTTCTTGTCTCCTCTGACGCCACATCTCGGCCCTGTTTTATTCTCTATTTGTGTGCTGTCTTTGGGCTTCGTTATTCGTGGCTTAAATATGTTTCCACTCCAGCTGTATTTGTCAGCCAAATGGAACAATCCCAGCAAAGTGCCCGACCATCCGACTGGCTAACCTTCGTCTGCTGTTGTCCCACAAGTTTCATTTAAGATGAAGTGAGGCCGAGCTCTTGCTGTCGTTGCTCCTGCACGGTGGAATTGTTTACCTCGTGGTATTAGATGATCAGGTTCAATCGAAACTCATCAGCCTAAAAAAAGAGAGACAAAATGAGTGTTATTGATTTTGTAAAATGGATTTGGTGTCTATGTAGATTTTGTTTTGTTGTTTGATGCTTTTACCGTGAACCACTCTATCATTTTTTTGTCTGGAATCTTAATTTATTGACCTCAGGCTGGATCATGCAGCCCTGTCTCCCAGGAATAGTATTTATGTACTTTTAATTTGCAAAAGAAAATATGTTTTGAAGGAAACACAATACCTCAGATTGAGCGTCTTTAATGAGAACATAACCAGATATTGTTAACTAAGGAAATATGCAAAACAGTTTGTCTCAGTGTAATTAACAAAGTGCTCAGTGTATTCTTTTAATTCATTTTTTTATGATATGCTTTCAAGCACGAGGCAACTTTTTTATGGTTGTGGTTAACCCTCCTGTTATCTCTGGGGTCAGTTTGAACACATTCAATGTTGAACATTTCTAAATTTATTTTTTTTTGCTCCATATTTAATGACTTTTTCTAATTTAATGGGGACAGCTGGGTAAAGATAAAAATAGCATGATGATATGTTTTCAATGTCCTGTACACGTTTTACGCATCCGCGTTCTTTCAGATCCACTACCTTTGACCGAGTTTCTGCTTCCTGTATTACTTTGTCAATATCCATCCATCATCTATACACCACTTAATCCTCACTAGGGTCGTGGGGGGCTGGAGTCTATCCCAGCCGACTCAGGGTGAAGGCAGGTTCACCTGGACAGGTCACCAGTCTATCACAGGGCCACACTTAGAGACAGACAACCAAGCACACTCACATTCACACCTATGGACAATTTAGAATCACCAATTAACCTCAACATGTTTTTGGACTTGTGGGAAGAAGCCGGAGAACCAGGAGAGAACCAGGATTAAGTGGTGTATAGGAAATGGATGGATGGATGGATGGATGGCACCATCAATCAAAAATGATATTCTTGAGAGAACAAATTCAGAGGGGACAGTTGGAAAGACTTGAATGTGACCCACTTGCATTGTCTTGCTCATTTTGGCAGGAGTGTAAAGTGGAAAGGTGAGGTGAATTTAATTAATTTAAAGGGCTATTTAGCTAGTCAACAAACAAAGCTAAAGTACCTGACACATAAGCTTGGGTAACAATTATAACTATGATCATTTTCCGGAGGATTAAACTGCTGGCTTCAGATTGACCCCAAGGATCAAAGATGTCAGTAAATCACAGATTAAAGCACCTACATGTGACAACAACATTTAGCTGATACTACAAACTAAATTTAATCCAAGTGGTTTTGCCTTTATAATTCTCAGTGTTTGCATGGAATCCACTCTAACCATCTCTTCAGGATTTCTAGAGCATAAGGGGGTCTGTGGCTCAGGTGGTCGTGCAGGTTGTCCTCTAATCGCAAGGTTGGTGGTTCGATCCCCCGCCCATCAACAGTTGAAGTGTCCTTGGGCAAGACGCTGAACCTGAAGTTGCTCAGGCAGCACCTTGCATGGCAGCTCTGTCGCCATGGGCGGATAAATGGGATCTACTCTCAAATGTACGTCACTAAATGAAAAACGTATAAAAATGTAGCCTGTAACTCCCAGGATGGACCAGTCTCACCAAACATAATCCAGACAGGAATCACACTGTTCAGTGCGATACTAACACAATGAGTTCAGTCATTACAAAAGGTTTTAACAGACTGCTTGGAGTAGTTGTTTAAGGAATGATCACAATTTCAACTCCGAATAAACTTTAAACAACCACTTAGTGTCTTAGATTGAGGAATTGTTTTGCAGGTTTGTAAAAGATAAACACCCACACATCTACGGTTGCCTCATATACAAATTTCTGCCATCCATTATATTCACAACAAGCTGCAGTTGGGTCTATAACCCTGGCTATACGGGATCATTTGTTCTCTGACACATGCACACACCCAGTAAACAAACAAATAATGAGCAATGTCTCCCACCTGGTGAGGAGATGATTATAACTCCATACATGCCATTAATCAGTTTGCCGCTGATAAACACCGCAAATAAGTCAGATTGATATCCCCGTCCTGGTGTCTTGCCCTTCAGGAAAGCCAAGTGAGATCGATGGTGCTTGTAACAGATGGTGGGAATGCAATGAGATACATCAGCATTACCCTCAAAGCAGCTTCCTCGCTGCGCTCCTGCGTTTCATTGCTGCTGATGATGATGATGATGATGAGGCATGTCTGGTGGAAAACTACAGATTCGATTGATAATAGACACGTGAGGAAAGAAATATTTTTACTTGATCAAATGTCTTTTATTTTAAAATCACAACAAATAATACATTTGTTAAAACATTTTATGGAAACATAACATTGTTTGGCTTTCTGCTCAGATAAACAACAACAAAAAAAAACAATAAAAGACTCATTCCTGACTCCAAAAACACCACCACGTGAACTAATCTTCCTGAAACACTGTATCTGCATTAAGTAATAAATGTTAATATTATTTTAAGTTTCATATATGTTTGGTACTTTACCATGCTGCTCCTGTTCTCCCACTGAAGCTCATAGGATGAATCCATAGCGTGCACACTGGAGAGTTACTCTAATAAACTGTTTTTAAGAGAACTCCCGTCTGCTGCGTCATCTCTAAGGCACTTTTAAAAATCAGTCTCAGATTATGCTGTACACAAACGTTTGTTACAGTTTAATTAACTGCCAAAGTGTGTGTAATCTTTTTTTTTTTAAACTTGTTTTCTATAGGAGACAGAATTTTCCAATCTTCTTTAAAACCCAGGGCAGTCTTCCTCTCTTCTTCTCTGGTCATTCAAGAATCTATCAGAACAACAACATAAATTACAGGTTAGAAAGGCAGAAAAAAATCATCCATCTCCTCCCAACAGCTGGAAAGTGACTCATTATTCCTCATGCAACTCTAACTTCTCTACACCTCTGCACAGTAAATGCCAGGGGGACACAATCAGCTCTGCAATTATTATGCTAATTTTAATAGGTAGGAGCCCGAAATAACGTCCTTTTTTTTTTAACTCTGTGTTTTTCAGTTGATAATGTATCTCCTGCAGAGTACAGCTTGAATCATTGTCTGTCCAATAATTGCTGTATTTTCCATCTCGCTGTGTGATGAGTCTCCTCCTTGTGGCAAACTGGAAATCTGCCCTGAAGGCTTGGAAATAATTACGCAGGTACTGCGAAGGGATTTTTCTTTCTTTTTTTTTTCTTCATAAATCAAATATGATATTATTAAAATGACATTACAAGAACTAGCCTTTGTTCTCTGTGTATAACTCACTCCATCTCCCTGTCTGGTCTCGTACGGTGTCAGTTCATGTGAATCTTTTTCTCCCTGTGGGCTCGCTTTTGTTCCATTTGTCATGCATATGAAACTGTATGAAGCCTGATCAGTTTTTAATGAATGCCTTCAGAATTAAGATCCAGGAAAAGAAAACTACCCGTTACCCCTCCTACTCTTCTGCAGTGTTTACAGACGTGACTTGATAATCCGACACTAAATATAAAACCTTTAATGTCGGATAGCAAGGCTGTCGGATTGTCAAGACGGAGGTTGAGATACAAGGAGGGCTTGATGAGTCATTTGTTGTTAATATTTATTGTTCATAGTTGTTAGAATAACTAGTGTATTGTTAGAACACGACGCATCGCTGGATTTCACGCTTAATTGACTGGTGCGCTTGTGCACATTCTGGCCAATTCCACCTTGGGGAAGCGCTCCGACCGGGTGGAAGTGGCCGGAACGTACAAGCAGCATTTGGCTGCTGATGCCGGTGTAGTTAGTGTTCACACTTCTGTTTCCACCATCGGTGGTGGTGGTGGTGGCAGGGGAGTGGCGGATAGGCTCCACTGCTACCATCTGTGTTTACTTCCATAAACACTGAACACGCTCACTGCGTGTGACGTCGTCGTGTCCTCTTCTGTGCATGCGGGACACTTTTGGGTCGTATGAAGTTCACACAGCAGATCACATACAAGTCGCATTTAACTGGAAATGTGAACGAACTCGCAGAGAAATTGGATTTCACAAAAAAATCCAAATTGAGCATTAAGTCCTGCAGTGTGAACGTAGCCAATCTGTTGGATTGTTCAGTCAGATAATACGCCGTCATCCTGATTGTGACATAAAATGTCATGTTGGAGTCAGAATCCAAGGCTGTTAGTATGTTAAGGCTATTTTCAATGTCAAGATTTTCAGATGGTTAAGGGTCGGATTATCAACTGTACTTGACTCTCACCATTTACAGCAGGGAGCAGGGCTTCTTCTTGACCTTGGTGGGCTGAGGGCAGAGGACGGCCCGGATGGCCTCATCAAACACAGTCTTCAGGCCGCGCTGAGTCAAGGCTGAGCACTCCAGGTACTTTACTGAATCTGCACATACAGACAAGGACACATAGTAAGAAAGTACAGACCTGAGGTACACAATCTTAGAATATTATAACAGTATCTCACTCGCAAACCCAATCAATGACGCTCTATGTCATGCTCCTTTTTCCTCATGAAATCTGGTTTGTACAGGACAGAGAATTTACATGTGCTAATGTAGCGAAGGAACCACTCAACAGCATGATAGCTAGAGGGCTAAAAAAAAAAAACACATTCGTGACTCCAAATTTGTCCAATTTTAATCTACATGTCGACAGAATTCTACCTGCAAATCACCAAAGCCGTGCCCTGCTGCGTTATCAGCTGCTCCAGCTGCAGCAGCACATTTAAAGTTCGGAGGAAACAAGTGCAATTCCAGATAAGCAAGTCTCAGCTATATACAATTTACTACAAAGTACTGCATGTTTCCTCTAAGGCACCAAAGAAAAAAGTAAACATTTCCATATATATACTTAAATTTAGTAATGTTTTCGTCTGTCTTCTGGCGCAAAGAGTTGTGGATGTTTGTTTTTCTCTACGCCTGAAAACTACTTCTGACCAGAGATAATTAAATGTATGAACGTTGCCATTGTGCACAATTGTAAGTTCACTATTAAACTTGGTGATGCAATGTCTTCACTAAAAGTCTATATACCTGTTTTCAGCATCCTTTTTTTCACCCAACAATGGATTCATCTAAAGGAAAGCTCTCCAAATGACATTAATCATGTTTGTTGTTCAGAACCCAGAAGACTGAGCAACGTTGTCCCTGGTCAGAAACGAGACGTAAGAGGAAACCATCACTGTGACTGACCTATCTCCTTAGCCAGAGCCAGGCCCTGCGGATAGGTGATGGGTGCCAGCTTCTTTTCCTTCAGCTTCTCGATGGTGTCCTTTTCATCCCTCAGATCCAGCTTGGTGCCCACCAGGATGATGGGTGTGGAGGGGCAGTGGTGGCGGACCTCCGGGTACCACTGGCAGAAGACAGAGTAAGAGGAAGATAGAATGAGAACAGAGGAAAAAGGGGGAGCACACAAAATGAAGTTGTTGGAAATGAAGAAAACGACAGGGGGGGTGAAGTGGAGGTTTGAAGTCCGACGGCACAAAACAGTGGATGAAAGGTTTCTTAAATTGCCATGAAATACGTCCTGTAGCTCCGAAAGAGAGAGAGAGAGGAGTGTATGATTGTGGCCGGATGTTGGACGTACGTGAACTTTTTCAATCAGGCAATCCAAGTTTCACTCTCAGTCTGCATATAATCTATCAAATTCATTTCCAGACCTGCCCTGGCTGCCTCTCGCTCAGGTTTCCTTCCTTTCCTCCCTACTTTGCCTCTGATCTCTTTTCTTCCCTTTCATATCTCCCCTTCCCTCCTAAACTTCATCCTCGTGCTCTCTCACTCTGCCCTTTGCCTTTTTTTTTTTTTAATATATATCCTCCATCCATCCATTTTCCTCAGTGAGGAAATGAGAGATGATATCTGCAAAGGAATTAATTCCGTCAGCGCCCACAGCCTCCACGCTCTTGTAGGTTTTCACTGGCAAATCCAACCTGCTTAGTAGAGAGGACTGAGCACAAGCCAGCTGATTGGCATTTGTGGATTATTGGTTATTATTATCACTGGTGCTACCTGATGAATCCAACTGTTTCTTCTTTAAGGTCAATTTGTTTTAAATGTCTCACTGTGCACAGTCAAGGCTCAAATTACTGTTTAAAGTCATAGATTCATTGACTCGCCTTCTTCCTCTTGTCATTTTTCTCTGTCACTGAAGTTGAATTAAATTAAATTATCTTGGTCGCAGCCGTTAGTTCAGTGATGTGGTGGACATTTCCTGAAATTTATGAGCAGGTTCATCACACATTACAAAAAGGATGCAAACTTGAGACTTAACTTAGAACAGATATGACTCCTGACATTATCTTGAGTCATTGAAGAATTAATTTTGATTCATGTCAAATGACTTGAGCTCATCAAAGGTGACTTGACATTGGATTTTTTCTAAACTAGCCTTACATTGAACATCCTGAATTGGTAAAGTCCCTCTCTGGTCTTTGATTAAACTCCTAGAACACATAGATCTTTGAAACTCTTCCCACTGGCTGCAGCTCGAGCACACCAGCTCTCCTCCTCAAACACTGGAAAACTACTCTGTGATATTAGAGTGATTCAGTCTTGTTGGCTTGAAGCAGAAACTGATTCTGAGGCAGAACAATGAAACAGAGAGCCCGTCCTGCGTACTGACAGTTGACCCCGAACGTATGAATTCATGTTTTCCAGACTGTCATTAGTGCACTGAAGTTTCAAGGCGGAGATGCTCAGCCATGGCTCTGAATATAAAGTGTCTTCAAGCAACATGCAACATGCAACATCAAATCGAGTTTATTGTCATGTTGCTGTACATACACAGTAGTAGAGGCAAGATGAGAGAGCGTAGCTTCATGATTATTCAACCAGCAAGTTTTTCAGAATGCACGTCTGGGATAAGACACTAAACGTTCACTCTCGCTGTCTCCTGAAGGGGGCGCTGCATCCATACACGCCGCCATTCGTTAAACATGGTGAACCTCTTCAGGTCCTGGTAGGTCTTCAAGGACACAAAGACACACATGATGGTGTGACGATGGTGAAGCTGCAGATGCTGCCCAGAGCTATCTGTCTGTCTGTCTGCATCCCCTCCAGCTGTATGTCCGTCTGGGATGTTGTCATGGAGCCATGTTTCTGTTAAAGCAGACACACAGCAGTCCCTCCACTCTCTGAGGGTTTCTCTCAGCAAACGTCCAGCTTGTTGTGGAGGGAGCGGACATTGGAGAGCAGGAGGATGGTCCTGCTGGTCTGGAGGGGTTAACCTTTAGCCTAGCATGGATCCTCTCTTCCTCCTCCTTTGTTTACATTCATACCGTTTGTGCTTCCTTCTCTCTCGGCTAACTGCCGGTGTCGTCTCCGATCAGACTCCGTGTTGGTGTAGTTTGTCCACATCACAACCAATTGCTGCAATTCCAGCACCGTTCACTGTCCTGACGCCCAGCAAAGTCTCCCGGCCGCAAGTTTTGTGGAATGAACATCTGGGATAGACTCAAAACGTTCACTTTCGTTGTCTCCTGAAGGGGGCGCTGCGTCCATGCCCGCCACCATCACCATGGCAACATAATATGATAGAACAAGATTAAACAATCTTCAGCACAGAAGTCGGACTTCTCTCAGATTTCTTGAGACATGACTTGGACTTTTCTTCAGTGACGTGAAAGACCTCGACTTTATCTTGTGTTTGTCTCAATCAAACTAAGACTTGGATTTGTTTTAAGCTACTTGAGACCTGACATGAGACTTGTATTAAAGACGTGCAGATTATACTTTTTCTTGTCTCTCTAAAACACCACAAGTATATCATGACATTAAACCCATTTTCAATATTCCACCATTGGCTACTGAGAAGCTCCAAAGAAGCTTTAAAGTTGTTAGGAAGCTGTGGCGGGGGTGGATTTATGCAGTCATCTTTGGCTTTATTATGTAACACAACAGTGCCGTAACATTTCCTAAATTCCATTTTTCTTTAACATCTACACTAATCCTTCTGCCCTTCTGTCCAGTCTTTATCCCTTGATTGCTGACGTGTGGACACTGAGTGAACGGCATGCTGGTCAGTCCGTGCTTCACTGTGTCATTATCCTTTTTATTTGCTTGACATTTAGCTGCTCGTAAACCTCAACAATCGTTAACCTTCACACACAAAAACAAATGAGTTTCTAAACTCATGCGGGGAGGCAATGTGAGGAGAGAGATGGCTTTGCTTGACGCCAAAGAAAGAAAAGTAAAGGTCCAGAATGATAATTGTTATGCTCGCTGCTTCTGCCTTCTGCCTGTAGCCAGTCTCTCTGCTTCTGTGTGCATGCTTGATTGCAAGAGTGGAGGAGAGTAGTGGAGCTGGAGCAGAGACTCACCAGCTGTACATCACAATCTCGCCTCTGCTCTGCTACCGTCGCCTTGCCGGAACCTCAGCTCGAGCGTTTCCTCGCCTGCCTCAGCCCAGTTTTCCCTCCTGGTCTGGCCTTCCTCGTTGGCTGAGCTCGGATCCCTTTTGGATCTCCTCTGCATTTCCCTCCCACTCTGCCCTGCTTGGCCCATCTTCAGCCCAAAACCTCAACCGGAAGTTCCCAGATATTCCAAACCAAACTTCAGTCCCAGACTCCTGAGTATGAGCTCAAGCTTTAGCCCCAGGTTTCCACTGACCAAACCAAAGTCTTGTTCTGTTGTTCCTGCTATCAGCAAAGCTCCTTTCTGACCTATTACCCAGTGCTTTGCTTGTCTTTGAATAAAACTGCTCCTCTGCCTTAGTGTCTCCTGATTAATCCCTCTAAATCATAATGTGAAAATGTCTTACCAGTCATTATTAAACCCCTACAAGCGTGTTTCCATGACATATCTTGATTTTTTCCCCCCATGAAAATAACCTCTTTATGACGCCCCTGCCTCCCATTTTTCTGCTACTTGCTACATATCGAGCACACCAGCTCACCTCTTCTCAAACTGACACAATGGCAGATATTAGAGTAATTCAGTCATACATGCAGGACAATGACACAGAAAGCCTCACTTTGCAAGTTTACTATGTACAGTGTGAAACCCTGGAAGGAAGTTTAAATCCATGTTTTTGATTCCTTCTTCAGTGCAGCCAATTTTCAGGGGCAAAGTGCTCAGCAGGGGGGTGTTGACTCCTTATCGTGCCCATGATGCGATTAAAAAAATACACCAGATGGAGACGTCAACAAGATAAGAAACTTGTTTTCACCGGAAAGGGTCTTTAATTGATTGCGCAAACACTGTCAATAAAAACATTCAGCCTGCTTGTGCCTGAAATAATCATGTCAGGTGCAAAATACATCCATATTTAAATTAAATGTGTTGTAGGAGAATACAATACAAAAGTGTAAAATTATATATTAAGCCTTCGTTCCACTGTTACGGCTCCACCTCATAGAATCAACATCTTTGCCTCTTTACTACTTGCTCTTCCTTTTTAATTTCCTTCCATATCAACTAATCCAGCAGGAGCCATCTGTGTAGTGCTACTTCTGCCTCTTGTTACTATAGAGACTCGTGTAGGATGCAACACAACGAGCAAAACAGGGGTAAGCGGTATTAAATTGGAGAGCTTTTGTTATTGCGCTCGTGCTTGCATCACAACGCAGGAATCGGCGAACGGATGAAAGCACAAAAGCCGAAAGAGCACTTAAAACGAGAGCGCTGTGCATGAAAGGTTCTATCTCACAATGACATCTGGTTCTTTGCAGCGTATTGCGACTGAAGGACAGAATGATTTGACACTCGTGACCCTGAACAGCAAAAAAAAGCAGGAATAAGAATTGGATAAAAGAATGAATTTGGATGAAAACAAACCAAAAGATATTTAAACTAACAGTTGAATGAAATTATTCGGCACCTTAAAAAAAATTCTCTCGCTTCTCGAATGTGTGGATTTGCTGCTTTTCTCCTTTATTTTGGATTTTTGACCCGTTGATTAGACAAAATTTGAGAATTTCTGTTTGGGCTATAAAGGAATTGTGATGATCCAGATCATTACTACTGTAAAAAATCAAAATATTGTCGTGAGTGTTGCATTGAAGCATCCTTGTTTTTGTATTTTTCATCAGCTGTCTATGTGCTCATACTCTTGTATGTTTGTCAAATGAATCAGTTTAAATATCTGTATTAGTTATGTTAAGGCTTTGAACTACCTGCTGTGCATTGCTTAGAGTGATGCATCACAGGACTTTGCAAATTAACTGTCTTAAGTGAAGGGGGCTTAATGAAATGAATCGGTGGCTGCCTGCAGTTATGTGGACAGTGACACAGGAGAAATTTAACACGAGTGCCTCTGAGACTTTGACTGAGATTTCATTCTCCAAAAGATAATTGAAATCATCCAATTTAAGGGGCCAGCTCTATTAAATACGGCTTTTAAATGCAAATTAAACTGCATAAACTGCCAACCAATTTAGCTGCAATTTAAATCATGTCTGTCCAGTCTCCCAAAAATATAAGCAGTGAAGAGTTTGAACGATTTAAGTTCCCTGAGAGACACAATACCGAGTCAAATTCCTCGGCCCAGAAAGCTGATTGTGATAGAAAGTTGTAGCCATGACGGTAGACTGTGCTTAAAAATATATCTGAATGTTGCTGCAAAGAAGCGACAGATTCTAAAACACAGACGCTTCACACACCTCGACGGCGGCAAATGACGTGCATGTACGCAAACGAGCTGCAGAAATGAAAACAAATGCAAAAAGAAAACGCTGCATATTCAGTCCCACAACAAAAGCACAACAAGGCCTCTAGGGGCAGTTTTTAAGTCTTCAACTTTTCAGTCACTGTGATTATTTGGGTGTTGCAGTGGTAGTTTACCACCGTCTCCTTGTTTTCTCGTTGTTATTTATGTTTATCCACGGAGACGAGAGAACATAAACCTTTTCATGCAGTTTTTCCCTCAGCTAACGTTACTCGTCTCGCTCACTGTCGCCTGAATCTCAGGTGAAAAGCTCACTACTGCCCCTAGAGGCCTGGGTCACTTCTGTTGTGTGACTGGATATGCAGCGTTTTCTTTTTGCAACACATTTCTGTTTATGCGATACATTCACGTATATGCAGCTCGTTTGTGTACATGCAGGTCATTTGCCCCCGTCGGCCACCGTACATCTCCAACCCAGCAGCACAGGACGTCAATATATAGTCGCCACAGTTTCGAGGAAGATTCGTGTCACCAATTCAGTGTCAAATATGAAATATGGTCACAACGTCCTCCTTTGTTTCTGAGTTACGGCAATGAATATATGCAAGAGATGTGGTTTTAACTGCAAAGCTGACCATTGACCTTTTGGATTGAAAACGTCATAATGTCATTGTTTAATCCTTTTAGAGAGTTGTGCTAAATTTTGTCATGATTACTGTGTGAATCTTTGAGTTGTGGCCGACAATGTGTGTGGTATATGATCAGCAGATGCAGTTGCGTCTGTTGCTTTATGAGCATGACACATCGTTTATCGGTCTTTCTCATACTTCTGGCTGCGTCTGCCCTGAGCGAGTTTGGCCGAACCTCATGGACTGAATTACATCCACGAGTTTCTTCTTCAGCGCTGGCATCACTGGAGCCTGAAATTATAATTTCACCAGCAACCTGGACAGAATTGAGCCAACTCTGCTGGGAATAGGCCAGTTTGGGCAGAGGGGTGGAGCGCATCAGAGACTGAGGAACCAGCAGCTGTCGTATTCTCTGCCCAACGTGCCGTCATCACGGGATAAAAGAGATGAAGTACAGGCAAGAGCAAAGTTTCTGTCCAAGCACTTGCATCATTTCCTTTACTTTAACCTGGCCTAAAGCCCAACACTGGAACACTGATCTTGAAATTGAAGATTTCGGCTAATGCAGGTGCAAAACTGTACTTGGAACTCTGTATACATCTGATATTAAACTTCCATCAGTTTCTGTTTGTCTGCCCTCGAATTTCCACAACTACCTGTCACAGCTGTTTTTATTCACTCCAGTGCAAATGTGGGTAACGTGAGAACAGCTGGAGTCGCGACTGTGCCTGTTTTATAATGGCAGACTTTATTAATTGCTCTGTGACTCAAAGTCATTGAATCCATTCTAGTACGTCCATCAAGACGGGGTTAAGTATTGAACCAGTGTTATGGCACCATTAGGGAGCTTATACATCACACGTGATGGCTCCTGTGGGTTTGTCAGGCCACAGCATAATTCATTATCAATCAGTCCTGGAGAGGAGGGAAACTGAGCACAGAGTCAATCCTGTCTGAACTGAAGGCTGAAACTGAAGGACTTGCTTTGAATGCACGGATTGGGAAATGTCGAAAGACTCGTGTTCTGACTTAGATGATCCTACAGACACAGTGTCTAGATACGTCTTTCCATGTCAACATTTGATCATTCCCCACAAAGTCTGCACTCCCCAAATGCATCACTTAAAGGTGCTATCTTCTTATTAGGAAGATCATAATGGCAGGCAGCTTGCTAGTGTCAAAGGACAGCATAGGGTGAGGATATTGGAGGTCAACTAGGAAAGGAATCAAGACAACAAAAGAGTATTTTATCTCGATGAGCCTGATGCTGAATCAAACAGATTCTCTCGAGGTTTCATATCGCTGATTTCAGTAATTCAGTTTTCAGGGTTTAAGATTAAAATAGATGAGCTGATTGATTAAAGAGAGGAAAACTCCTGTCCTGATGGTACAGAGGGAAACTTATTAAAGTGGTGTACCAGGCAGATGTGTGGCATCCTTCATGTATTTTCCAGTCTTCCTTGGTAGAGGAGGGGAAGAGATCCACTTTGGTGCCACTGGAAAATATTAAGTCTCCCAAGGCAACACAGTACATGACATGTTGGACCTCTCAACATCTGTCTGCAGGGCAAAGAGGGGAATGGAGGATGGTATAGCTCCCCAGTTAAATCTTGTACACCTGGAGGGAAGTAAGAACCAAGCATGTTTGCTAACTGTAATCAGCCACGTGCTCTTAAAGTGGATCTTTTCTCCAAATAAATGTGGTTAAGACCAAAGAAATGTTGATTGATTGTCACAGGAAGTGCCTCCTTTTATTCAGTCTGTCCTGTTTTTTACTATTGTTTTCTAGAAACTAGAAATCCTCCAAATGTGATCACGTGCCTGATTTAAGGTGACTGTGAGGGATACATACGTCTTCAAAGCAAAGCGTCCCAAGGAGACGTTGAAGATTTACTCTATTCTACTCCACCTTTGACAACCAAATTGAAATCAGTCCATCATTGAGTTGGACATCTGATGCAATGACGTTTCCTCTGGGCCTCCTTGAAATCTTACAGGAACTGAACAAATGTGATGCTGAAGTGAGCTGTGACCACCAAAATCAAACCAATTCGAGTCCGAGTGGACATTTGTGTCAGATTTGTAGAAATTCCCTCAACGTGTTCAATTCAGTTCAGTTCATTTTTATTTATACGGCATCGACTCACAACATAGATCATCTCGCAGCACTTCACATCGTCAGGTGAAGATCCCTATTCCTATTGGATGAGCAAGCAGTCGGCGACAGAGGGAAGGAACCAAACCCCCACCGTGTCCATGATGCATCACACCCATGAGAGTGAGGCGGACTGACAAACGGACAGATGGACAACCCACAACCATCGTGCCTTTAGTCACGCCTGTCGCCGGCGCAGAAGCATGATGAAAATGGAAATAGAAAATACACACAGTTTGCTCAACCCAAAGTGATGGTGACACATGTTTCCTCCCCCTCATTCTTCACCGGTCAGACTAAAGTAGACGGCGTTGAGGAATATCACTGAAGACACATCATCAGTCTCACGCATGCACCACTCATTTCACGAAGCAAGAACATTGGTTGTTCCTGGTTACCTCTAATTTGATCTATTTTCCTTCGTACACGTGCGCGTCCTCCCTCCGCTTATCTAACTCAGCTAACGAAGTGTGGTTGACGTGGCAGCGTCTGAGTGTCGGCGTTATAATAGAAACACCACTTGGGTGACAAATGTTTTTTTTCCATTTAGGTGACATCTTTTAAAAGGCTTTGGGGACAGAGATGAGACTCACCTTAGCTCTGACGTTCTCATAGGATGCTGGGCTCACCAGGGAGAAACAGATTAGGAAAACATCCTGGATGGATAGAAAACGAGAAGAGACAGAAGAGATTAGACGGCAGCTGTTACGACAACGGCACTGTGACGATGTCTGTCGCAAGTTTATGTGTTCTACAGCAAGTCTCCATGACATTCTCTACCTGTTTCAGTAGCTAGAACTCTATTGCTAACACACTTTATTGCAAAGGGAAATATCTTCTTTTTCTGCTATGAAGATCAAACAGTAAATGCTTAAATGTATGACAACTTAGTACCAGTTACTGTTCTATAATCTTTATGTATGTGTTTCCGGATACATCCATCCATCATCTATACACCGCTCAATCCTCACGAGGGTCATGAGAGGCTGGACCCTATCCCAGCTGACTCAGGGTGAAGGCAGGTTCACCTGGACAGGTCACCAGTCTATCACAGGGCTACACTTAGAGACAGACAACCAAGCACACTCACATTCACACCTACGGACAATTTAGAATCACCAATTAACCTCAACATGTTTTTGGAGGAAGCTGGAGAACACGGAGAAAACATGCAAACTCCACGCAGAAAGATTCCGGTGCCCCCACCGGGACGCAAACCGGCGACCCTCTTACTGCGAGGCAACAGTGCTAACCAACTGCAGTACCCTGCAGCTTTCCGGATACAAAATAAGTTTAAAAAAACGATTTGCTGCTATGACAAAAATGCATTAAACTGCTGCCTCGATTCCAGTTTTAGGCCAAATATCGAACTAAAAATGTTTTTGTCCTTTCATAGTACTGAAGAACTTTGCACCAACCGTCACCCTGCGCTTTGATCATCTTCAGTATTGCACTAATGTTGCCCTCGAGGGCCGTATTGTGTATGGATTTGACAGTAGTAAATTAAACTCTGCTAGTTTCACAGCTGGGGACCAAATGGATTTGGTCTGTTCTAATGATCTGTGTGTGTCCATGTGTGTGTGTGTGTGTGTGATTGCATACCGTCTGTGGGTAGGACAGTGGGCGGAGCCTGTCATAATCTTCCTGTCCGGCTGTATCCCAGAGGCCCAGGTTGACTGGCTTGCTGTCCACCATCACATTAGCTGAGTAGTTGTCAAACCTGTGGGGAGCAGAGAAGGTCAGCGATCAATCAGTCACCGAGCCACTCTGTAATTTAACTGATTATTTTAGCGATCAGTCAGTTGATTTACAAGTGCCACAGACATGCCATCACATCCAGGTAGGATCCCATTATGAGTCGTGTGAGATCTGAAAGCTTCGTATGAGAGGAACCACGGAAAATGTAGTTGATCGTGAAATAACTCTGAGAGGGATCAGTACAATGGTGTTGATCATAGCACTTTCCAAAAAGCTAAAAAAGAGCTTAAATGAATAACTGACTGGTTGACTTTGTTTGCCATTCAACAGAGGTCATGTGTATGAAGACATTACATATTTAAGCAGCAGCGCCCCCGTGTGGCCACATGGACACACTGCAGTTTCATTTCTTAACTCGTGTGTTCAGCTCTTGAGTCACTTTTAGTACGACTCTCAATGCCAGCAAATTAAAATCCATGTAATTCTGTTCATTCTTTGGGAAATTTTAATGCAAGTCAGTTTACAAATACAAAAACGAAGACACTTTCTACGAATAATACCAAAATGTGACTGTATATAAAATCAGTGGAACAGACTTTTCTTCAGCTCCATTTCAGCAGCACTCTGCTTCCCCGTCATGCATCAGCTCAGATTCACGTCACGCCTTCAGGTAGCACAAAGAGGAAACATCACAGGCTTCTGACAAATGCAGCGA